ACTCTGATTTTTCATCCTCTAGGGAAGATTCACATTAACCAATTTCAAAGTATTGATGTATAAATCGAGTTTCAAGCAAGGGCTATAACTTCACCTAGACAGGGCCCTCAGGGCACATGATCCTTTCATGCTCCATTGGGGAAGTAGAGTCAGCAGAAGCAGGATGGCAGAGGTGTTATACATGTGGGCTCTGAGGCCACCTAGATCTTGTCTTGAATCCTGGCTTAGCTGTGGGACTGGAGCAGTCTGCCTACCACCTCTAAGTCTCATGATCATCACTGACAAAGGGATAATGATCTCTGTTTTGGATAATAATGAGATCGTGTCTGAGGTTGCTCAGCACCATGTCCTGGACATCATAATGGCTCAATAAGTCCCTTGGAAGACATGGAAATAGAACAGAGTTAATGAGGCAATTTGTGTGCTTAATATGATCAGCTAAAGTAGCCTCAAGGAGCCCTGGTGATACAGTGGTTAAGTGCTCAGCTGCTAACTGATGGGTTGGCAATTTGAACCCATCCAGCATCTCCATGGAAGAAAGATCTGGCAATCCCATAGAAAACCCTATGGGACAGTTCTACTCTGCCATACATGGGGTTGCTATGAGTCCAGATTGACTCAACAGCATCTAAGAACAAAAACAACAAAAAAAGTAGCACCATGCCTCTAACATTGCTGTATAAAAGATCCAGGTATCCAAAGCCTATTGACAAGGATTCCATTTACTTCCCTAGCTCATCCTCCTTTCCTAAATTGATTCTCCCACACACACCATCACCCAATAACCACCTTCCACTGAACTCCCACATTCTGCAGAACTATTAATACATTTAATCATGTTATATGTTAAATACATTTAATCGTGTTATAAATATCAGACCTGGGAGTAATTTTTTCTCTTCCTCACTAAATTTATCTCTCTCTGATCAATTCCATTGAGGTGTTGGCTTTAAAGTTTAACTCTTAAGGAAAATTATCTCAAAGAAATCTTATTTCTGTCATTTCTAACTTTGGGCTGGATACCTCACCATAGTCTGCAAGAGTTCACAACAATTACTCTAGTCACACCTCATTTTATAAAACTAGATTGACCCAGCTTGATCATTTGCTGTCCCCTTCCCCATTTATCAGACTTGATATAAAGTGACTTTTGACATTTGAAAAAAATCAAATCCATTCTGAGGCCAAAAAGATTTATCACCACTGAAGGTGTTTTTATGAATGTAACACAAGCTTCGAAAGCAACCCCAAAATACTATCATAAAGTTTTAAGAAATAACAAACATCCTAGGAATACTGTGGAACCCTTTGGAAGGGATGGCAATCATTTGAACAGATAAAGTATGGTACTTCGCAATTTAAAAACCAGCCATACTACTTTCAAGTCAGTCACAACCTGTACCTTGAATGCTTTGTCACTGAATAGCCAAATGCATTCTGGAGTGAAGTGGTGCCTGGCAGCAGAGCCTGAAGCAGCCCATAGCAAACAGCATTGACTTGAAGTGTTAAAAGTCCCTCTCATGTATTTCTACGTATGTATTTACATATGCTGCAAATATATCCATGAATATATTAGACCATATTGTTGTTGTTGTTATGTGCCATCGAGTCAGACCCGACTCATAGCAACCCCTCCTTGGGTTTCCGAGGCACTACCACTGTGGAAGTAGATTGCCCAACCTTCCTTCCGAGGAGTGGCTGGTGAGTTTGAACTTCCAGCCTTCTGGTTAGCAGTCAAGTGCCTTAGGCACTATGCTACCAGAGTTCCTGTATTAGACCATACAAGGGGTAAAGTTATGAAAAATTTTTAATTATAACCAAAAACCCTAGGGAGTGAGTTACTGAGCCTGGGGACTCAGGACCATAGTCTTGGGGAGATAACGGTCAATTGGCATAGCATAACCACAATAACCATGCTCTGCATCCTAATTTGGTGAGAAGCGAGTGGGATCTTAAAAGCTTCAAAGTGGCCAAGGTATAACTATTGGCCTCTCTCCATCTGGAGCAAAGAAGAGTGAAGAAAATCAAAGACACATAGGGTCAATTAGTCCAAAGAACTAATGGACCATGTGAATATCAGCCTCCATGACTCTGAGACCAGAAGACTAGAAGGTGTCTGGCTACCTCTACCAACTGCTCTGAAAGACACCACATTAGAAGGTCCTGAATAGAGTGGGAGAAAAAATGTGGAACAAATTCAAAATCATACAAAAGACCAGACTTGACTGGTAGAACTCCTGAGACTATAGCCATTTGTCACCCTTTACCATGTAGCTCAATTTTCAGTCAAACAATAGATCTACAACGCAAACAGTAACTCTAGAAAGGTACACACTCCTTAGAGCAATCAAACATTCAAGATCAAAAGGGCAGCATTTGCCCAAAGAAAAAGTTCAGAATGCAGGAAGGTTTAGGAGAGGAGGAGAAATGGAAATGAGAAACCCAGGGAGGAAGAGTGATATCAATGGAATTACAATCAATGACATGAAACAAAATGTGTATGAATTGTTGAATGGAAAACTGGTTTGCTCTGTAAACTTTCACTCAAATCACAACAAAAAGTTATAAGAAAAAAAAAGTCCCCTCATTTTATACTTGACTTTATAAGTAGTAAGTGCGACTCTGAGATATTCTCTATTTACCCTGTAGCTGTCTACGCCCTGCATTTCTCCCGGGTAGAATTGTTAGGATTTACAACCAAAAACCAAACCCAAACCCACTGCCATCAAGTCAGTTCTGACTCATTGCGATGAAGGAGAATCTTAATAAGGTCTTGAATTCCCTATTGATTACACAGATTGCTTTTCCACTTTTTCAAAATTTAGTGTGAATGGAAGTATAAAAATTAGATGGTGTTGATTTATGAAGATGGGTTCTCCTATTGATTTATGTGTTCTTGGGAGGAAGTTCTGTCATAGCTCCTACCCCTCTCCTGTTAGTTCAAGCTGTTTTCGTTGGTAAATTGATAGTAATTGAGGCCCAGAGGCCGTCATCCTGTGAGCTCAGAGTGAGAAGGAAACATCTGCTTTGGAGTTTTAAAAGGAACACTAGCTTGTACTCTGTACTCCTTATGAAGACTAAGGGTCTTCTAGGTAGGTGCTAAGATTTGCTCATTTTTGTATCGTCTGTAGCATTTAGCTAGTACTTTGTCTAGTATGGGTGACCCTACTGGTATGTGAAATACCAGTGGCATGTCCTTCAGCCTCACAGCAACATACAAGCCACTATAGTACGACCAACTGACAAATGAGTGGTGGTTGCACTTATTAGACATTGATAAATATTTGGTGAGTTAAAGGAATTATACAAGAAACCAAAGTATAGATAACTCTTAACATCATGTTTTATCCACCCTGTCACATGGGGTCGCTATGAGTCAAAATCAACTCAACAACAAACAGCAACAACAATCCACTCTCCTAACACAGAAATGCAAGAGAGAACTATCAGAATAGGAAATATATTCAAGAAGAGAGAAAATAATGTCCATGAATAATGTGTACACACACATTTTCTCTTCTGTAGTCTTTGTTTTTGCTGTGAGCTTAGAGGTGTCCAGTGAGCAGTCATCCTAGATTGAATGCAATACGTTTGCATATATAGGCCCTAGAAGCTGATTTAGAAATAACTGTTTTCTTAAAGGAGCTCTGGTGGGGGTAATGGTTAAAGTATTTGGCTGCTAACCAAAAGGTCAGCGGTTCGAACCCACCAGCCACTCTGCAGGAGAAAGATGAGGCATTCTGCTTCCATAAAGATTTACAGCCTTGAGAACCCTATGGAGCAGGTCTACTCAGTCCTAAAAACTTGTTATAAGTCGGAATCAACTCAATGGCAGTGGGTTTGGATTTGTTATTCCCTCTTAGCCACATATCTCCATCAGCCTGCCTTTCCCTCCTCCTCCACTTCAGTGCTCTGGTGTTCTGTGGTGATTTCAAGCTTGATAGACCAGGGAGAATAACGTATTAGCAGTGCTCAAACATCTACAGTGATTTTATGCCTAAATTCTGCGGGAGTACTCCTACATCGGTCAACATTTTAAAAAAAGAGTTTATGATGAAAACATGCTTAAGATCGTTGTTGTTCTTTGAAAAGGTAAAGACAGGGTAAATGTTTAGTTTATTCTTAAATACCATTTCCAAAGTCCTCTGGCCTTAATTTTGACATTTCTTGCAGGAGGATACTTTTATTGTTTGTATTAAAAATTATAGCAGCATAGTAGAGTGGTTGAGGACACAGACTTGGGAGCCAGAAGGTTAAGACCCAAATCCCACTTTTAACACTTGCTTAATCTCAAGTGCTGGTTTCCCCCCTGTAAAGTGGAATTGGTAAGAGGACCAACCTTACAGGGTTGTGATGAGGATTAAAGATGCTAGAATATGTAAAGTGCTTGGAATAGTACCTGGCACATAGCAAATACTATGTAAATGGTTGTTAAATATAATTAAAAAAAAAAAAAAAAAAGAAGGAAATCATCTTCTAGTCCGTTCGATGTAAAATATACTTTTAACTGCTTGGAGAGGAGGAGCCACAGGGTTTGACAACTTGGCCAAAGAGCAAGAGCATCTAAGAAATGAGATAACCTGTTAGTTGCTGTCCAGCGATGCTGAGTCATGAGCCCCCATGTGTGTCAGAGTAGAACTGTGCTCCGTAGGGTTTTCAGTGGCTGATTTTTTGGAAGTTGATTACCAGGACTTTCTTCCAAGAAACTTTTGAATAGACTCAAACCAGCAACCTTTCAGCTAGTAGCCAAATGCAGTTAACCAAGAGAAATAAGATAGAAGGTTCTCCACTTATTAAAAACCCTTTACTTGACTGATTCCACTGCTGGGTCCTCATCGTCTTCTCCTTTGCATGATTATAACATTTGCATTGACATACTCGGGGTTTGAGACATTCCATTAAATGAAAATTATATAAACCTGAGATTGTATGTTTTAGGAAAATCAGTCTCTTGTCACTTACTCTTTTCCTTTTTGTTCCCCATTTGATTCTCCCCCTAGCCCAAGCTTTTGGCCAAGGAGCTTCTAGACCTAGTGGCATCTCACTTCAACCTGAAAGAAAAGGAGTACTTTGGAATAGCATTCACAGATGAAACGTAAGTGCTGTGATGTGCCCTCAGAGCCTGCCGGGCACGGGCAGCCCTCTGCAATCACACTTTCTCAACTGTCAGCCATTAAATGAGTTGCAGGCCTCTTGGGTCCTGTGGTATGGGTTCAGCCTAAGTCTGTCATCTGAATTTCAAAGACCTTGTGATCATGCCAGGAATAGCCAAAGGATATAATTAGGGTCATCTGAATATTCTGAAATTATTAGAGGTACTAGTTCTTATAATCAAGTAGGTTGATGCTCAGAACTGCGCTGTTTAATTTTTAAAAAGTATATTTGTATGGGTTTGTTTTCTATTAAAGTTAAATGAAAACTTATGGAAATCAAACATTCCCTTCCAGTGTTGAAATAACAATGACAGTAAGTTAATTTGATGATAAATGCAAAATGAAAAGTATCTGTGTCATTTCACTGTCTTAAGCTGAAATGGAGAATATGAAAATCAAAAAATTCACATCACTCATCTGATAAAAAGAACATTTGCTTTTCAAAAGCAGCTTTCAGTTTGGCTCTATAAAGTCATGTTTTGTAATACAACTAAAGAATAACCACTAAAATTTCAATTTTCTTCTTAATGTATTATTATCAAGAGTGCAGTGAATACCTGCCCAGATTTCTAGGTAAAAATAAGCTATTTTCACCAAATGTTTCATAATTCTCTTTCTTGTGTGTGTGTGTGTATACATAAATACATACTTTTTTTTTCTTTCTAAAATCTTAGAATTACAGAGATCATTTCCTAAAACACAGATAGATTAGGGTTAGGTTAGTGGTTGAGCAAGATAGTACAGGAAGGCCAGGCCCAGGAAATCAGACGGCTGGCCCCATGTAGGCAGGATGGGCTCAGAAGCAAGCACAGGAGGCATCCACTTGGGCCAGTGAGAGAGGTGACCAGATATATCTGCACATAGGGCCTAATGCATTTGACAGCTAACCAGAAGACTGGAGGTTCAAATCTACGATCCACTCCTCGGAAGGAAGGTTGGGCAATCTACTTCCGTAGAGATATCACCACAGAAACTCAAGGAGGGGTTGCTATGAGTTGGATCTGACTCGAGGGCAATGAGTTTGGTTTTGTTTTTTTGTAGAGTGGACTTAGCCTTGGGAGTGACAAATGGATAATGGCCATTTAATTTATTATCCAAATTGGGATACTGTGAGTGAGGTGGGTATAAAAAGAGACTGTTTTGGCAAACTGGAACAATGATCACCCTATATGTATTTGGTGGCACAATGGTTAGGCTTGCAGCTGCTAAGTGTAAGGTCATTGGTTTGACCCCATCACTGGCTCTGCAGGAGAAAAGACCTAGAGATCTGCTCCTGTAAAGAGCACAGCCCAGGAAACCCCAGAGAGCAGTGCTTCTTTGTCACATCGGGTCCCTATGAGTCAGACTCAGCAGTGCACAACAACATACATAAGTGACATTTCAGGCAGTGGTGTGTTTAGGGAGCAAGCAGCGAGGACAAAGCCATATCATTCTCAAGAAAGCCATGAGGAACTAGGTGGGCCATCATCCAGACTTGCAGGGAACTGAGCAGGCTTCTGGTGGCTCCTGATCTGGAGAAATGGCTGTGCCGGCACGTAGCCCAGCTGTGCAAGCCTGTGCGCTGTGGAGGGAAGGAGCCAGCCTGGTAATTTCAAAAAATGCTTTTCAAACAAATTCACATGTAGAACAATTACTTTGACAAATGCAAACGTTTTCTGCCCTTTGTCCCAAGAATCAGCGTAAACTCCCAAAATTGCTATTCAGATCTTTTTCGCTAATTAATGAATTGGAAGGAAACCATAAGTTTCAATTAATCACAGCCCCATTGTTCACATTTCCCAAATAAGTTTACCCTCCTACAAAATCCCGTGAACTTTAGATGTGTCCCAATGAGACTTCCTTTTTGAATAAGCAGGAATCAAAGAATGAGACAAACAGGAAGAAGTAAGCCTGAAGGATGTTTCAAATCACTACCTAGTAGCATGGGCCAAAAAGAATCAATTGTAGGGTACCAAGCCATTCTTCTCCCGGGAGGGATGAAAGTTCCACATCATAGAAAGAAGAGTGGGAGTGCCCACAGCAAAGTTGAGGTTTCCCATTAAGCGAAGCCTTTATACTCTGGATCTCTTTGTTGTTGCTAGTTGCTGTCAAGTTGGCCTGACTCATGGTGACCCCATGTACAACAGAACAAAATGCTGCCCTGCCCTATGCCATCCCATAATTGGTTTCAGATCAAACCACTGTGATCCATAGGATTTTCACTAGCTGATTTTCAGAAGCAAATTGCCAGGCTTTTTTTCCTAGTCTGTCTGAGGCTAGAAGCTCTACTGAAACCTGTTCAGCATCATAGCAATTTACAAGCCTCCACTGACATGGGTGGTGACTGCACTTGAGCTATAGTGACCAGAAATGGAACCCAGGTCTTCCTCATGGAAGGTGAGAAATCTACTATTGAACCACAGTGCCTTATAGTCTGCATTGGAGCTATCCTAATTCTCTGTGCTTCCCAGGAAAGAGTGTGTGGTGTGTGGTGTGTGTGTGTGTGTGTGTGTGTAGGTCAGGCTTTAGAAGAGCATATTACTTTCTGGTGGAGTCGCCAGCACAAGAGGGCTCTATGGGGGATGATAAAAAAAATATAAGCATTTTTCTGGCATGGTGCAGAGAAAATATCTACCATGGTCACCTTCATTGGATTCTGGGTGGGATGGTTTCTCCAGCAAGTGTAGGAGTGGCGGGCAGCCAACGAGAGATCAGTGACAAAGGGTTGGGACTGGCAAACAGTTACTGCAAGAACTGGCAGATATGTCTGACTCACCAGTGGGAAACAGTAGTGCAAAGATCCCAGAGTAAAATGACAACCTAGGTCTCAAAGGAAAAGGCAAGGAGACAGAAACAAAGGGGAAGGCAGGGAATGGCTGTGACTCAGGACACTGTCAGTCGGAGCCTGACAGCACCTGGGGCAGCAGATGCCGAAGGGTGGCCTTTTTTGTTCTCCTGAACTTTTCACCTTTTCTTGGTAGGAAAAGGAAGAAGAAAAGCTACCACCACAAAACAGTGCCTGTGGTTGTGACTTGGTCTAGGCAGGTGATGTGTCAGTAAGCACCAGCTTTGTACTATGTCCCACCAGTCCTCATGATGTCTCTGGGTACCAGTGGACACTTATACAAGGTCTTTTAATAACTGTTTTCAATTTGTTCATGTGTGCTGTGAGATGAAAGAGCCCTGGTAATGCAGTTCTTAAGCACTTGATTGCTAACCAAAAGGTTAGTGGATCAAACCTACCCTGTAGCTCTGTGGAAGAAAGACCTGGCATATGCTTCCATAAAGATTAAAGCCAATAAAGCGCTGTGGGGGCAGTTCTACCCTGTCACATGGGATCATTAGGAGTCATAAGGGACTGTTGGTACCCAACATCAACTGACACTATGAGATGAGCAGTGTGTGTGTGTGTGTGTATGTGTGTGTGTATGAAAGAGAGAGAGAATTTAATTTATGCTGGTACACTACACTGTGTGTTACATAATAAAGTGCAGAAATTTCATCCTTTATTACAGCTGACAATATACCACATCTATTCACCTACCTCCTGATGCAAATCAAACAAAATTAACACTTGGAAAATACTTATAAACAGGAAAATACTGTACAAGTGTGAGCTACTGTTACCAGCAGCATTATCATTCCCAATGGTAGAACTGACTCTTTGGTCAAATATTGTCAGTGATTCTTTCAATGTTAACTGCTATTGATGGTATTTTGTGGGACTGAATAGGCCTGTAAAAAAGATATATAAAGCAGAATGCAGACAGGAAATTGGAAATTTCTCTAAGCTTCTTTTGCCCCATAAATTTTATTCATTAATAAAGTGTCTAAGTCCATAGTGAAAGACTTTCTGCCCAAAGATATTTAATATTGCTACCTCATCAGTAATTTTACATTATTAAAGCTAGCTCCACCTTCTCTTTTTTCATTTAATTTTTTTTAACTTGTAAGTGAAATAACTAAACATACAAAACAGTTGCAGAGACAGTACAGAGTTCCCATATATCCTTCATCCAGCTCCCCCAAACCATCTTACAAACTATATTTATCAAAACTAAGAACTTAACATTGTATTATATTATTAAATAAATTACAGACTACTCAGATTTACCTGTTTTTCCTCAAATGTCCTTTTCTGTTTCAGGGTTTAGTCCAAGATACTTCGTTATGTTTTTGTTGTTGTCATTGTGTGCTTTCAATTCAATTCCAATTCATAATGACTCTGTAGAACAGAGTAGAGCTGCCCCATCGGATTTTTTTGGGGTGTAATCTTTACAGAAGCAGACTGCCATGCTTCTCTTCCATGGAGCAGTGGATGGGTTTGAACCTTCAACCTTTTGACTCACAGCTAACCCTTTTAACCACTGTGCCACTAGTGTTCCTTATGTTGTATTTAGTCCTCCTTTCCTTTCATTAATTTTGTCCTAGCAAAAAGAGATAGAGATGACCACCTACAGATGATCTGAATTGTGCTGGCACACTCAAGCAATGACATTTGGCAGCCTTTAAAACATTGTGAAACAAAGTAAGAGCCTAGTATAAACTTGATCTTAAAATAATTGTTCATGCTTTGCTGGAGCAGGGGTTCTCAGCCTTTGTTGCACATTGCCATAACCTAGGGCATTTTATAAAATACTGATGCCTGGGACCTACCCCCCAGAAATTCTAATTTAATTGGTCTGGATTTGGCCTGAGCATCGAAATTTTTCAAACTCCTCCATTGATTCTAATGTGCAGCCAAGTTTGAAAATCCCTGCTCTAAAGAGTGGAGAGTCCTAGAGTAAATATCCCTGCTGCTTCTGTCCAGATCCAAGAAGAGAAATTGATCCCACTCAAACTTTGGGTGTTTGGGGTCAATCATGGCACATCCCAGGGGCCTACAAAGGTCAATATTGTTGTTAGGTGCTGTTGACTTGGCCTTGACTCATAGCAACCCCATACACAACAGAATGAAACCCTG